TGGGGAATTCTGGGAGTTGAAGTCCACACCTCTTCAAGTGCCCAAGGTTGAGAAACGCGGCTGTAATGCATACAGACCTGACTTACCGTTTACTAAACTGATCCAGTGCTTGACTCTGAATTAACCAGTTTCCTGGGCTTGTACCAAATCCTATACAATACATCAAATCACAGATGAGTCACCGAAGATGCTAAATGACAGAACTAACCATAGATAAAACTAACCATGTTAGCCACTATGAGAGAGAGGGAAGCAGTGAGGCACCCAGCAGGCTTATTTAGTCACAAACCAGCTTGCCTTAGCCCAGCCTTTTGTGGCTTATCCAGCAGAGCAGGATTAAAAGGGCTTAACGCAAGGTGTGAATCTGGAAAGCACGCACTTTCCTGCAACTCATCCACTTTGCTCTTTTCTCCATTCTTTTCCCTGAAAAAGCAACTTTTATAGAGTCGCATTTGTCATTATAGGTTTGGTTACAGACTGAATATGGCTGGGTTTGCATCCTGGCTTAGTCTAACCAAGGTTTATGGAATGAGCATGAAAATGTGATGATGGTCAATTGATAAGCCACCATGGCTGAGTTCACACACCACGCTAAATCAAAACTGGCACGGTGTGAATGTCACCAGTCTAAAATGGGCATGGAAAGTTATATCTGCACTGGAGAAGAGGTGCCCTTATGATGATTATGTGCCATTAAGCCAATGCTGACTCTTGGTGGCCACAGACAAGTTTTCTCCAAGACCTTTAAAGGCTCCACAGCCCGAATGCCAGCACTGCCCCTAACAAAGATGGCGCCCGCCCTTACCACAATGTCCATAAGTAAAGATGGCTCTTCGTTCTCCTGCCCGCGATGGAGATGGCGCCGCCTCCACCCTGAACTCGCCCGCACCAAAGATGGCGGAAAGAGCACCCGCCCTGCCAGGAACGAAGATGGTGAGAAGGGGAAATGCGGAAAAGCTCCATGGCCTCCCTTTCCGAACCCTCGACCGGCCCCGTCCTCGGCCCCGTCCTGTTCGGCAAGAGCTGGGGGTGCTGCGCCCGAACCCCGGAGGGGAGGCGCCTGAGGGCAGGCGAGGTCGGGCTGGCCTTTCCCCCGCGGCG